CAGTTCATTATTGTAAGTGCTTTTCTTTGCTCTCTGCTTGATACAGAACATCCACCTTCGGCTAGCGAGCGCTCTGCCCTCTCTTCAGGGCCCTCTCTTGAACACCTACCTTTCCTGGTTTTCTTATATGAAAGTATGTCAATGTAGAATAAACCGAGATATAAGTCATTTGACTGTATATATAGAAAAGGATGGTGCCACACCAGTTTTATATCTCCATAATTGAGAAATTCTTGGGAACTGCTTGCTAGTACAGAACTTTTGTAACAGAGTGGGGAATCAGTCTCTCTATGGCCTTCTTGGGTAATGCAGTTGAATTAATCTCATCTCACTTTAGGTGTCTGCAGTGCAGATATGTACATATGAGCTAGTCACCCAACGCTCCTTTTGAAGTGAATTACAAGACATGAGTGCTTTTAGGGTACAATTCTTCTGATCTGTTTGGAGGTCTACTTTGACGTGAGATAAAGTGCACCTAGAAGTGACTGTACAGATAACTAGTCAGATGTATTCCCTCCTGTGTGGCTGTATAACAGTACTGTGTAGTATGCAGCAGTCATATTTTTGTAGGTTCGTACTTAAAACTAATGTTTTTTCCTGTTAAAGAAAAATCCATTTTGTACTTTCTTTTGTGTAAGAAATAAAGGATGCAAGTTGCAAGTGAAACAATTACTTTAAGGTTTCAGATATAATACCATTGGATCGTTCAGTAAATCATGGAACTAAATTAGCTTACAGTAATGGTGACCTGTAGTGATGCCACAGGATCAAAAAATTTAATCTGAGATCAACGTTGCAATCACGTTATTTTACATTGGCTTGGAGAGAATTAGAGTGAATACCTTAACAGTGACTGCATTTTCTAGATTTCAAAGGCATGTTCAGCTCACATATGAAGCAATTTTGCCCCTAATTTTAATTATGGGTAGTCTGTACCATGATGTGAGTGTGCAAACCAGTTTCTTCAGGGAAAGAAAGAGCATAAACTTACAGCACTTCAATCAGTGTTGGACAATTGCCTATGAGCATGCTTTTTCCCAGGAGCTCTTTGCAGAAAAGGGTTGTGTGTTAATTTCCATGGAGTAGCTGACATATTCTACCTTCCTTTCCTATAGCAGTGCTGAGGCAGCTTCGACTGTCATAAGTTGTATGAGGAGCATGCTGGGTGATCATTGGCAAATTATTTCACTACGTTGTGCCGTAGTTTCCCTTCAATTAGCAGGATATTGATATCAGTGTTTTACAAAGCACTCATGAGATCCGCTAATGAACAGTGCTTCACCAGAGCCAGGCAGTTCCACTAATCGTTGACTGAATATCCAGTGTATTTGTCTGAATAGGCTTTTATTAAGATGGGGAACAATGGCTTGAGGTGAGTCAGATTTTACACTAGCAGGAGCATAGGTACGTTTTTTGAATAGAAAAGAGTTTCTTTCCACTAGACCTGTTAAACCAACGTGTTTTACCTCTTGACAAGGCACTGAGTCATCCACTGCCTGGAGGAAGGCACTTAAATCATCAATAAATGGCCATTCTGCCCTATAAGAGGGCCAAGTTCACTTCTCAAGACTCCAAACGTCATTCCTCGGTTGTACAAATGTTGGCAGAGCAGAAGTGGCCCTGAGAGTGAAGTGGGGAGCAGATCAGTTGAATGTCAAGGTGTTCAGGGAATGATGCTGACAGGTTCCAGAGAGCGTTCTCTGCAGCAGAACAGTTTTGTTGTCATGTAGGATTTTTCTGTAGGTGTAGGTCTAGGTCAGAGAAGCTTTCAGAAGGTATGGAAGCATAGGTCCTCTGGACTCCATCTAGTTCGTTGCTTCCTATGCAGATAGACAGTGAAAATGCTAGCACATGGGGCCATTCCAGTGACCCCAAGGCCGTGTGTTGCATTGCTTCTGCAACTGAACTTACTGCACATTCCTTCTTCATCTCACAGGATCCTGTGGTTAGGGTCTTTCTCCAAGGTCCTCTTTGCACTAAACCCCCTCTTTCTTATGCCTGTTACTCTGCATTTCTGTTGCTTTTTAATCCTTTTCCCTTCAAACCCATTTCTCTTCATGTCATCAGAGTACCAGTGTTTACTGCCTTTCCTGTTTCTTCCCAGAGCTGGTAATATATTGATTGCTTCTGCTCTTCTTACAAATGTATCACTGTTCTCTGTTCTGTCTGCTTTCAAAGTGCAAGAAAGGTTGAAGTAAGTGCTTTCCTCCCTTGTCTTCCTCCCATTTCTTTTCCCTCCACACCAAGGGCTGCATTTGCTCCCGTTTATCCTCCCTTCTCCCCAAGACAGTTTTTTCCTCTTGAGGTTTTCCGGTTTTCTATTTTCCGCTTTTTCTTCAGAAACTCTTTCCTTTCCTTCTCTCTTCTTTCCCATACTATCCTCAGCAAATAAATCAAGAAGGCGTTTGTGTTTTCTGTGTGGGAAAGATGGCAGAGCTGGGACAAGTATATTGTTGTTCTGGAAGCTGTAAGTAGGACTTCTGGATTTCCTGAAGGTAAATAATTGATAGAAAGTACTTCTAAAGTACCTGTGAAAATGAATGGATCCTGAGAGAGTAGTCTTGACTTTGTGCCTTGGATCTCCTATTCAGTCTTTTATTGCTTTTTTATTTTGTTTAGTGGGTAAGGGCCATCCATAGTTCTATCCGACGTGGCTAAATGTTACCTGTGAGAGGAATTTTATATTTTATTTTTTTTTTCACATGTGTCTGACAGTTCTTGTCTCTGGATAGAAAAAGACTCTGGGCAAGATCATATGAAGGCATTCACTTGCTTACTTCTCACAGAAATCAGTAGAGTTAAGGTGCCTATGTAAATATATGCCCGTTGTGACTATGTGAAATTTAAACTGTGAGAAAGAAACAAGGGGACCCTGCAATACTAAAAAGTGAGTAGGAGAAGGGATGTGTAATGGGCGGAAGAATGTCTTTGTTGTTAAGGATTTGGACTGATCTCTTCTATATATTTTTGGTTCTGCTACAGATGTTTTGAGTTGTCCTACCCAAGTTACTTATTGGATAAATAAGGTTTATCTGTTTCTGATATTTTTTTTATCTGCTGTTTATCTTCTTAGACAGATTTATCTGCTATTTATCTGCTTAAACATCTCTAAGAACTTTACTCATTCTGTTCCTCTACTAAAATAAGGGTAATAATGCTTCCTTACCTATCGTCTTGTCTGTTCAGGTAATAATCTCTTTCGATAGGGATTATTTTCTATGATGCTGTGTGTTCCAGATGTGATTGGTCTCCTAGTAAGATTAGGTACCACTGTAAAAACACAACATAGAGTTAATAATGCAAATACCGTCTTTTGGTTTATCCATTGTTCAATTCTCATAAGCAATTACAAACATCTCCTGAATTTTTTTTCTTCAGTTACTTTAATAACTATATATTGTTTGTTGTTGCTTCCTATTTGAAGAACTTGTCCTGTTTTCTTAAGATTAACTAACAATTTGCTAATCTTTTTGATTTATGTCATTATTTCAAATGTTGGTTATTGCACGCATTCCTTCCATATATCAAAAACAGGCACTATACAAAAACATGAGTGGAACATGTGTTTAACACACGGACAACTGTTGAATTCCAAAACTATTTTGAGCTTTAATCTGGCAGGAAAAGACATAACATCTTGTTTTGAAAGCTGAAGCTAGAGAAATTAAAATTAGCAAAAAGGTGCATGTTTTCACTGCGAGAGTAAATATTAGTTGTGACATGTTATGTAGTACTGTGAAACGTTTTTCTTTTCCTAAAATAGATGCTGTGGTGTAAAGGGAAGCAATAGAGTTTTTGCCTAAATTACTGTTTGATGTCTATTAATGCAGAAAATCAGATTACATTGTTGTAATAGTCCTTTTGGCTTTAGAACCTATGAATTTTTGAATCTGTGAAATATTTCTTTTTTTTTTTTTTTATTTTCTAATTGAGCATTAGCCTAATTTCTGAACCTACATCTGTAGCTGAGGTTGTTGAGTTCTAGCATTGTGTTTCCTTATGGCCTTTAATTCACTGACTTTAAATCAAAAATGTCCTCCCCCTCATGCAGTGATCAGTACTAAGTATTACATTTGATTAATGGGATTGGGAGGCTGGTTGTCTTGAAATTGGATTGCAAAGTGGGATATTACAGCTAAATCATCAAATCAGGTCTGCAAAGATATTTCTGCTTGAAATAGAGCACTTGTGTAGTGGGAAATACACAGCAACTGTGGTTCTGAGAGGGAGTGAGAAAACTCAAAAGGGATGTCTTAAAGAAAGCTACTCTGGCAAGTGTCTGTCTGTTTTGTGGTGTATGTACTGAGAGGTAGAATCACCTGTGAAACAAAAGATTGTTTTTAGATATCTTTGCTTTGCCTGAAGAGGCAAAGGGATGAGAACTGGTGTAAATAGAGAAAGAAGTACTTACTTCTTTGCATGATAGTCCAGGAAAGTCTGGGAAATAAGCTGACTGTTAATAAGTCAAATATGTATATCCATATCTTACAAAATTCTCATGAAAATGGTCCACTTCCAGATCATCAAATCTTGAAGGCTTTTACAAAGGAAAATAGTATCACTAAATCCTAATTTACAATAGTATAATAGAGGTAAAAATGTTTTGAATAGTCAGTGTGGTAGAATTGAGCATGGGCATTATTTTCTGCCCTCATTTAAAACTATGCAGTACTGCTGAATGCGTGGAAGGACTGGAGGCTGCCAGCTGTGGAGCAGACACATCCATGCTCCTGCAGTGGAGGCAGAGTGGTTTATGACCTGCGCTTTATTCAGTGTATGGGGCAGGATATTAATGATATCAGTCTATTTCCTCACTTTTCGTTACAAGCATTTGCATTATCTTCTCTCTGTCTTTTTCATTCCAGCACAAATAAGGATCATATTAATCACGTTTCCAGGATGATAGTGTTGGATGGAAATGCCTACTTCAGATTGTTATTGTTGTCTAGTATTGACATGCAAAAACAATAACTACTTTTTTTCTCTATTGTTTCCCACAGGGTGCAGCTCTGATTCGAATGCTGGCTAACTTTATGGGTCACTCTGTGTTTCAAATGGGCTTACAAGTAAGTAAAGGCATTTCTGTCTTGGTGTAGGCTAGCAGTTTATCTCACTCTCTCTTTTTTCTTTTTAAACTATATTTGCATCTATTTTTGGAAATGTTTCTTTACTTCAGGACCATCTGAGGCACCGACATGTCCCTGAAGCTGAATTTGATGGAAGACGCTGAGTAGTGTAACACGCATTGCAGTTCCCCACTTTCACCCATATTTCTTGGTGTAGCAAATGATTGCATTTTAACTGGCACACGGTTTCGTGTCCGTTTTGTGTAGATTGCCACGTAAAAGCCATGTTGTCTCTGTGACAACTGTGTGAAGGGCTAGCTGAGGAAAGAGCTGCTTCTCTTCAATTCCATTCGCATGCTGATAAAACAAATAATAATGTTATTTTATTATTGTTATGTTTATTAACAAATGATGTCAAGCCAGCTAGAAAATATGCAGCCCTGAAACTAGTAATGATTTTCAGATAAGTACTTTTGCCTTCCCTTCCTCCATAGCAAAATCCTTGAGCTTTATTTTCACCTTTGATAAGCATGGAGTGCTCTCTGCCTTAACGATGTTTTGAAAAGTCACTCTGCCTTTTAAAAGAAGAAGAGAAAGAAATTCAACATGCTGATTACCAAGGATGAACTCTTTTCAGCAATAATTCAGCGCAAATGAGTGTTTCGTAAACTATTTAAAAACAAACAAGCCAAAGCATAAAAAACAATGCAACTCCCTCTATTCCATTGAAATCTGCTGTAGTAAATCATGTTACAGACAGCTGTGATTGATGAATTATGTATGATGCAGCCTGCTACTTAGAAGTGTCCTTTAAAGTAAATTGATGTTCACCTGAAATACAATTATGCTAAGATGGAAAGAGCAATCAATCTTATCTGTTCTTAGTAAGCTTTTCATTTTGAAATTTAAATAAACTATGTCTAGGATCAGGTCATTTTTTAACAGAATAATTCTACCTCTAGCCAAAATAAATTGGAAGATAAAATATAAAACAAAAATTAAATAAATTTTTTGGTTATATCAGAGAGGTGTGTTCCATGCAATAGACTATGAAAGGAAACCTGCTGGGGAAATACAGCTTTTTGGAGAGTTTACAGGACATTCAGAGTTTGCAGCATAACTTATTCGCAGGACTCAGTTGAATCATTTTCTTAGTTTTAACACCAGGTCAAATCAGTTAGAGAATCTTCTTACTCAGATAAGAAATCTTGAAATCAAAAGTTTCCTTCATAAAATCTTGTATATGCCAAGGGTAAAACTCTCGTCTCATTTAAGCCCATATGACTTTTGTCCTTAGTCCAGCAAACTCCATATTCGAGCCAGAAACTTTTGCCTGCACAGATCCATTCATACGGAAATTCAATAGCACTTTTTCCCAAAAACACATTTCACTCAGGGTTTTAGAAAGGGAAAGTTTTAATACATACATCTGAAACCTCATTTTTTTTATTTTCTTCTGCGTTTGCCTAAGCAATAACAGTGTGCAAGTTGTCCTGAAATAAATTTAGAAAAAAGTTCATATCGAAGAATAGGGCTATGCAGGGATTAAATAATCATAATTGCCATAAAGTTGTAATGGAGCTTTGTTTTTTGATTTGAGTGGTTTCCTATTATTTCTGCCTTTCACTGGTTCTGCTCTAAATAGAAACTCTTCTGTTTGCTAATGAAAGTCTATGAAAAATCTAACTGTGAAAATCTGACTAGTGAAAGTCTTGGCATCTGTTCAGTAGGAAGATGACATTCTAACTTCTTTTATAAAAACTATTCGATATCCAGATAGAGATTTTCCTTTTGTATGTTTCCAAGTTGAACAAAATAAAACATCAACTTCATAAGATTGTTCATAAGATACAGATTGTACAACTGGAAATATCTGTCAATCGTTTAATTCTTTGTGTTTTGTGGATCTAACAAAATAGTGTTCCTGCACTGTAGAGCAGGGAGACTAGCTTTGCTAATGAAAAGGGGAACTGGGGGACTAATTTACCCTTTCTATCATGCATTGGTTTAGGCTTTTTAGCTCTTTATCTCTGGTATCATTACTTGGAATTTAGCATTATATTGCCTCGAACCCAGTTTTGTCATGGAATTCTGATGTTCAGCTAAATGGCCTTTCTCAAGGTTGACTGTAAAATCAAGTATTACTACTATTTATAAATCTTTTCAAATAACGAATACTCTGAAAGTGCACTCGAGAGTTCATTCCTCCTGGGTTATTCTAATGGCTTGCTGAGTAACTGAGGTCTGAAGGACCTTCGCTTTATCTTATTTGCTTTGTTTTTCATTAGCCTCCAGTATATGAAGCACATCAGTGTTAATAGTACTAATATTATTTCAGTTCTCTTTATTGTATTAGGTATGTCCTTAAGTGTTTCACAGATGATAGAGTCTTATTCCTGTAGTCTTATTACACTAGTGTCAACCAAAATAAGGAGCCCTTTATTTGTGTTCTTGTTGAGTGTTTGTGGTTTCGTTGAAATCAAGATATGATTCATCATCTAATTAAGGGCTACAAAATTAGAGTTTTTATATAAGAGAAGCTACAACAAATATGGTAACCTTTGGGTTAAGGAGAGGAAAAGATAAGGTTTAGAGCAAGAAGCAAATGGGCTAGCTGCCTTTTTTGTTCATTACCACTTTTTCTTAACGTAATTACATGCTATCATCTGGCAGGTGGACTTTTTGAAGAGCAGATCAAGGTAGCTTGGGGGAGGAAAATCCCTTATATGTCAAAGAAAACAGTCAGTTTTAAAAAGAAGTTGTTGAAGGAGAGTGAGGTTCTTTGTTGGATATTCTTTAAGAATGAATATGAGCTCAAGCAAATGTACCAAGGTGCACATGAACCCTAACAGTTCAACAAACCATTCTGTTGAGGAGTCTGCAGGGAGGTGAAATTGTAATAGAGAGGCTCAGTTTTACAGCATAGATGGCTTTGGAGAGATTCATATCTGTCAAGAATAGCTTTCCTGTTCCTATCACAGTAAATATACTATGAAAGACCATTGGATTGTAGCGTAGAAGTTCCACAACAAAACTACAGCCAAGGGACTGCCTAGTGAAGGTATGATTTTCTAGAAGCTCTTCAAAGACATACGATGTTTCGAATCATGGGGTGTTTTCAAACAGAAGATATAGTAATAAAGACAAAACTTTCTTAGTGTTTTCACATAGTGCTCCATTGGCAAAACTGAAAGAGAACATATTTATATTGGCTGTAATGAATAATGGAATAATGACAGTAATAGCCACAGCTGGTAACACTTGCATGCGAGAAAGTCACAGCTATTATTTTTATAGAAAATACCTAATCATAGAATGGTTAGGGTTGGAAGGGACCTTAAAGATCATCTAGTTTCAAACCCCCTGCCATGGGCAGGGAAACCCTCCACTACACCAGGTTGCCCAAAGCCTCATCCAACCTGGCCTTGAACACTTCCAGGGATGGGGCATCCACAACTTCTCTGGGCAACCTGTTCCAGTGCCTCACCACCCTCAGAGTGAAAAATTTCTTCCTTAGAGCTAATCTAGATCTACCCTCTTTCAGTTTAAATCCATTGCCCCTTGTCCTATCACTACATGCCCTTGGAAAATGTCCCTCTCCAACTTTCCTGTAGGCCCTCTTTAAGTACTGGAAGGCTGCTATAAGATCACCCCGGACCCATTTCTTCTCCAGACTGAACAGCCCCAACTCTCCCAGCCTGTCTTCATAGGAGAAGTGCTCCAGCCCTCGGATCATCTTCGTGGCCCTGCTCTGGACTCGTTCCAGCAGCTCCATGTTCTTCTTGTGTTGGGGACTCCAGAGCTGGACGCAGTATTCCAGGTGGGGTCTCACGAGAGCAGAGTAGAGGGGCCTCTCTGCTCTCGTGAGCAGGGCCTCCCTCGACCTGCTGGCCACGCTTCTTTGGATGCAGCCCAGGATACGGTTGGCTTTCTGGTCTGCCAGCGCACATTGCCGGCTCATGTTGAGCTTCTCATCCACCAGCACTGCCAAGTCCTTTTCCTCAGGGCAACTCTCAATCCATTCTCCGCCCAGCCTGTACTTGTGCTTGGGATTGCCCCGACCCACGTGCAGGACCTTGCACTTGGCCATGTTGAACTTCAGTAAACCCTTCCTTCTCACAGTAGGTGATTTATTTCTTTTTAAAAGTCCTGACATCGTTCATGATGTGCAAAGTTTCTTATGCTCCAGAGAAATTCAAGAGGTGCGCATCACTGAATGCCAGTACTCTTCTTACAGAGTGGTGTTGCTTTTCAGTCAAAAAGCCATTAATCAGCTAGGACAGCGATTAGAGTATGAAGAGGCTTGGTCAGCACCACTTGCTCTGATTGTGTTTCTGAACTGCATAGATTGATAGAGGGAAAAGCCGTAAGTTGGCCTTACGTTCAGACATCACTCAGGGCAGTAATATGCAATATAATATTAGATTTGTGTGAGATTTTCATCTGTATGCTGTGGTTCCTAATCTGTGTGCTTGAAATAGATGGTTGCTTACTTGACTGGTGTCACTGTATTACATTTCCTGGAAGGTTTTACTGCTTTATGGCAAGGCACCTCTTCAAGTTATCCATGGAGTTTTTTTCATATTAGATATAGAGAAAAAGCCCAGTGATTTGAAGGTCTGATACTTAGATGTGTCTGAAGAGGCACCTCCAGCTCTATAATGAGACATTTCTGCATTCATTTATTTAAATTTTTCTAATATTTTGTTTGATTGTTTTGGAGCCTCATCTCTATTACTGTACATTTGTCAACACTGCATTTCATTTGCCATGTGGCAGCTCATTGATCACATAGATCTGTATCCTTTTGAACTTCTCTTGCTGCTATGTATGTGTTCATCACTCACTCTGATTTAGTGCATCATCAGCAGTTTGAATTAGTTACTGTAGGAATCTCTGCTTCTGCGATAAATTAACTGCTTTTGTACTTAGACTTCACAATGTACATTTGGAAGAAGAATTTCCATACAGTGCTTTGGATATACACTGTCTTTTTTGGT